CGTCCATCTAGGGTTCCACCCTACATCAATACTAGTATCTAATTTTACTGTACTACTTATGTTTACAACTGAGCTTCAAAGAAAGTTAAGCCTTGAATGGAAGTGATAGAGGAGGGTAGTGCATTGTTGAAGAATTTTCCTCGTTACTAGTTTGGGATTTTATGTGTTCTAGGCTTGCGATTACTACCGGACCTCATGGAAAAAACTATTTTTCCCATTTGTCTTGTATTTGTGTTGGATTGTCCAGATAGTTTCCTTTTGATTTAATTAAAAAAATCATTTTCTTTTCTGTTTTCAAATGAGTAATGCACTAGAAAAGGAAGGGGCTTATGATGTTCTTTTTTAAATAATGGGCCCTTCTGTCGCATTCATAAATAAAAGAATGAAAGGAAAAATATTTGAAGAACTATTAGTATCTCCAAATTTTTGTGCAAGCAACTTTCATTAGAAATGTCTCAAAACAAAATGTTACAGTTCAAACCCAAGGAAAGACTAGAATGAGTACAATAGTAAGGGAGGTAAATCAAATTAAACAAACGGCGATTACAAAAAAGAAGGAGGCGAGCTTCCTATCCGTCTTTGCACCACTTCCCTCATTCAGGAACAAACACTTTGCCAAATTCATTTGAGTCCCGCCCCGGATTTTCAGGACGGGTAAAACAATTTAAGCATCAACCAAAATTCCAAATTCCATGCTTCGACTACACCATCCGTGCCTCATAGGTTAGTCATGATTCATATGTTTTGGGTATTGCACACACCTTCAATATGCTTACGAAATCTTTCCACTTTTATGTTTTTGTGCAACACACATTTTTATGTTGTTTCTCATGTGGCAACATGGAGGATTTCAACGAGTTTGTTATAGTCATGTCTGTGGTGGGTAAGTGGAAGGACGAGGAGGGGGGGGGGGTATCTTGAGACACTGGGTTAGGAGAGTGTGATTTTTTTGTCTCCTATTGCAACACATGGGCCTTATTTCAGCTTTAGTTCAAATTTGAACTAAAGCCACGACACTTTTTTGGATCGGAGGGAGTAGTAAATAAAAAAAGAACGGAAGGAAAAACATTTATAGAACTATTAATATCTCCAGATTGTTGTGCAAACAACTTTCATGAGAAAAAGTTCAGAACAAAATGTTTATTACAGTTCAAACCCAAGGAAAAGACAAGAATGAATACAATGGTAAGGGAGGTAAATCAAATTAAAAAATCAGGAGAGGCAAATCAATCTAAACATCAAGAAAAGGAATCCAAATTACATGCTCACGAGAAAGCATGAGCTTATTCTTAATCTCAAGCAGTGAAAAACTTGGCATCATGATTTGATGGACCACCAGTTGATTTAGTAGGTGTTGAGGATGCGGCAGCTCCTCCTGATCTCGCCATCGGCACTGGTCTTGACCTCGATGGCACCCATCCTCACCATCGCTGCCTTGAACTTCTCCTCCCACACATTGTTATCCTCGGCGTAGGCACGCACCGCAGCACTCGTGTCATCCGCCGTCAAGAGCGCAGCGTCCGAGGCAAAGAGCACCTCGTGGCTGAGCACGTTCTTATAGTACTTGTTGTCCAACTTGTTGGGGGTCTTGATGTCTTGCACCACGGTGTTGTCGTTGCCGGTGTCTGACCTGCACTGCTTCTCTAGAGACGCCATCAGCTTGGGGTCCATGTCGGAGGTGCTGGCATTGAGGCGGTCGGAGAAGTCATCGTCAAAGGACGAGCAGTGGGACACCCCGATGGTGTGTGCACCAGAGAGGGTGACCATCTCGTCGGCGGAGAGCCCCTTGGAGGCAAAGTTGGCCTTGAGCTGCTCCACAGTGGCAAAGGGCGGGGGCAGGTGGATGAGTGTCTCGTTGATCAGGGAGACGCGACCGTCATAGCGGCCGGCTGGCATCTCGAAGTAGACCTTCTTGTTGCTGAGGAAGTAGGTGGCGTCACGACCAGCGAAGGCCAAGACATCGGCGCACGAGACGACGTTCCCGCACTCCTTCTCGATCCTTGCCTTTGCCGCGTCGATCACCTCGAAGCCGCGCAGGCTTAGGTTTGGGAGGCCAAACTTCTCCGTCGCGCTGCTAGGGTCGGCCAGGTCGAGTAGCACGGAGGCATCGCAACCCTGTAGATCCACAATCAAGAGGTGCACACACATGGTACATCAGTGCCCACACGTTGATGCGCATTGCAATACATTATCAGAAATGCTAAAAGTTTAACATCAGAATTCTAGACATAGCAAATCAAACGTTTTTCATCGCAATTTATATTGGCATGAGGATAACAAATTTAGTTTGTAAACACAACAATTTCTTGAGCAAAACAAAAAGAACTGAGATGGATTTGTCATGCTTGTCAACTAAACTTCTCACGCTAGATGAACATAATTTGCCAGGAAAAACGTTCAAGGTGCCATGACTAAAAATCTCACGTTCGCTGGATATTCAGGTCCTAAATTATAATATTAATATCAAATGATAAGTGCCGCACAAACCCAAGCATCAGTGCACAAGCAGTCTTACCCTGATGAAGCAGTCGTGGAAGAAGAGACGGACGAGCCCCGCCATGATGCCGGCATTGGCACCGCGCACGGTCTCCCTCACGATGTCTTCGGCGCGGTGGCACGTTTTCTGGTAGTAGCCGACCACGAGCTCCGCTGAGGCTGGTGGGCTCGGGACGGGCGCCGGAGGAGGAGGAGTAGCTGTGCTCGGGGGAGTCGAAGGATGGCCAGGAGAGCACGGGGTGGACGGCGGCGGGCTGGGATGCCCATAGTCTGCCTGGCCCTCACGCGCCATGCAGCCGAGCAGCGCGAGCACGGTCAGGGCGGCGGCGAGCTTGGCCATGGTCGCTAGCTTAGCTCCTCCCTCGGGCTGTTTGCTTGGTCTGTCTCGTGAGCTTGGGTGGTGATGAGAGAAGAGGATGCCTCTGCATGCCTATTTATAGCCAACCTCCGAGACGAGACAGAGCCGATGCAAGGAGCGATCGTGCAAGGAATGTCGTGTCCCGGAGCAATAGTTTTCTCGGCAGAACTGGACATGGCGAGCACAATCGCCCGGAATGGGCAGTGCTAAGTTGACATTGATCCGTGCCTGTGCAAAGTGTTGAACAGCTCGCTGCGGCTTCATTAAACTGATGACGTGATTATGTCCACCGAACACCGATCGTTCGGTGATGCGTCTAACTGGGCAAGAAACGATTTGATATTGCCTGGGTGATTATTCAACGGGTTGCTCTTGAGAGTTGTTGGACTGGGCGTGGGCGTGGGTGGAGTTAGTTAAGACAGTGCAATAAACAGTCCCATCATTGGATAGACATTCGCTTCGCCGCGGTCTGGATCTGACCCATCGCAGTCGCAGCACCGCCGGCCAGCCCCTAGCTACGCTAGTAGGTACTCCTGCTTGTAATGGTGGGTTGCCATGACGAGCTACGCTGTCTACGCAATAGGCCAGTTCGTGAATTCATGTAAAAAATGCTAGAGTTAGGGCATCCTCAATGTCGATCCGCAAATTTTCTTCCGCATCCGTTCGCGAAAAGAAAAACCAATTCATGGACACCGACACGGGAGCCGGCCATCCAACACTGCCCACATACATTTTGGACATATTTGAACTAAAATAGGTAAGCCGCGGCAGATCTCTTTGTCTTCTCCATGTCCGGCAGCCCGCTCATCAGACTGCCG